AAAAAAAAAAAAAAAAACCCTATGGAGCACAGTTCTACACTGAGAACATGGGGTCGCTATGGGTTGGAATGTAATACCATAAAAAATTTGTTAAAAATCAGAAAAACACAACATGAACAAACAGACAAAAAAAATGCAAATTTTTAAACAATTCAAACCTGTAATTAAAATACAGAGACTTATAATGGTGTAGCAGTCTTGGTGTGGCACTGTGAGATAAAGGACTGAATCACAATCAGTTTGAGCCTTAAGGTCAGTGACACATACTCACCAGCTGCAACTTGGGAACCCTATACAGGGTTGCTATACGTCAGAACCAACTCAACAGCACTTAACAACAGCAATTCTAAAATTTCAGAAATGGACAATACATTAAGTAGATTTGAAGTAATGTAACCCCGAATTAGTGAGCATGAAGATAAATCTCTAAATAGTAGTATGCTAGAATATAAATCAGAGAAAAAACAATGAAAAAATCCAGAGAAAGTCTAAGAATTATGTGGCACTTACGTGTGCGCAGAATTCCAGAAAAGGAAGAGACAATTTAAAAGTACAGAGAAAACTTTCCAAGAGTTGTTGGAAGAAAACTTTCCTAATATCATGAAAGACAAGAAGATACACATAGAAGTAGCTGAATGAACCCCAAACTGGATATATCTCAAAAGAAAATCACTAATAAGGAAAAAAAAAAAAAAGAAAGAAAGAAAATCACGAAGACATATCATAATCAAACTTTCCAAAATCAAAAACAAGAAAAGAATCCTGAAAGCAGCTCAGCAAAAATAAAGAGTTATCTAACAAAGGAGAACCAGTAAGACTAAGCTCTGATTTCTCAGCAGAAACCAAGCAGATGAGAAGGCAATGGAGTGACATATACAAAACTCTGGTATAGTGCTGTAGGTTAATGCACTGGACAGGGAAGTCAGTTTGAACTGTAAGGTCAATGGTTCAAGCTCACCTGCTGCTCCTCAGAAATCCTAGACCACAAGCACTAGACCATAAGGTTAGTTTGAACCACAAGGTCAATAGTTCAAACTCACTAGCCGCTCCTCAGTAACCCTATACAGGGTCGCTGTGAGTCAGAACTGACTTATGGCACTTAACAACAAAAACATATACATATATGTATATGTATGCAGTTGAAGATGTGATTTAATTAAGGATTCTGAGATAGGGAAGACTAACAAAGGAGAACCTTTGATGGGGGGAGGGTGGCGGGGGGCATTAAATGCCACCATAAGTGTCCACATAAGAAAGAGGCAAAGGGAGGTTTCACGCAGAGGAGAGAGTGTTATGAAGGTGGAACAAATAGAGATTACAAGGCCTTGGAGTGATGTTACCACATGCCAAGAAATGCAAGCAGACACCAGAAGCTAGGAAAGAAGGATGGATTCTCTCCTACAACTTCTAGATGGACTTTGGCTCTGCCAATACCTTTGTTTCAGCGCAGTAGTACTTATTTCAGCTTAGAGTCTTCAAAAACTGTGAGAAAATAAAATTTCTTGGGGTTGTTGCTGTTTCATGATAGGGAGAAGTAAACGTATTTTGAGTTAATGAAATTATATCAAGAACATAAAAAAACAACTTCAAGTGCTCGCTGAATTATGTTAATTACCTTAATAAAGAGGAGTTTCTGACTTCCGGGTACAGTATTTCCAGGTTTAGCAGGTATCCATTATTAACTAATAGTCATTTTTTTAGTAACAATGTGAAAATAACCACTTACCAAATACTTTTGCTTTAGCAAATGGAGGAAACAATTCTGAATGTCGGAATAAATTTTTGTGGATATGCCATAGTTCTTTGTGTAGTTTCTTAAAATCACTGTATCTCTTCCATACGATTATCTAAGAAAAGGAAAAAAGTATATGTGTGCCTATAGTGAAACTGTTTAGGTTCAGATATCTGATAGCAAATAACCTTTTCATTAAACATTCAAGACAGTCATGCAAGCAGAAACAAATATGTGTTCTAACCAACACATATTTAGCTAAACTAAAATTAAGTGATAATATTTGCTTTTAAAATATAAAGCAGTCATTCATCTTCAAACTGTTGTGTCTTCATTTTAATTTTTCATTTTAAACAAATACTGTTTTCTTCATAATGAAAACTATTCAACCTAGCAGAAAGAGGGTGTATAGTACATAAAACATCACTTAACTTCTTCAAAAACCAATAACAATTGGCAAATGTTTTGTTGTACATATATGTGAAAACATATATTCTACCTCAAAAATAGCAAGTTTATAAACAGAAAAGAATGACTATATAATTTTTAAACACAAAGTACATAGCATTTGTATAAAAGTATAAATAAGAACTAACAACAACAAAAAGAACTGAATATGGTAATGAACCTACTGCCTAACATATATATTTATGATCAGGATTTCTCCATCTTATTTTTTCTGACTGCCAACATAACATTTCTATACCTGTTTTAAAATAATCACTTTGTATTTTGCATAGAAGCTACTGATTTCTTAAAAATTATATACAAATGTTTAAAAAATTTGACATGAACTTTTAGATTTTGTTTTACACTGATTCCATAACACCAATATAGAGTAGCACTAAATTTCTGGGGACAAGGTGTACCTTGATCAGAATATCATTAGAACTATTTATATTTTCAAAAAAAAAACAAAATAATCTCATCTAGATTATATAACACTTAAAATAGTTTCATTAACTTGAATTCATTAACTTTATTGAGCTAAAATTTGGAGAAAAAAACCTTTGTGTAAAGAAGGATTTAAAATATGAAGTTTTGGTAACACTGATTCAGCCCGTCAGTGTCCACACATTAGGGCTAAAACTGAGTTTCAATTTCTGCTACCTGGAATCCTAGGCAGGTCCTTTGCTTCTGAAAAGTCTAATTGCCTGTGTTCTAACAAGCTCCAAGTTTTTTCACATACAACAAAGTCTAACACTAATGACTAAATTATCAGTCCATACATATAATCAGATGTGATTAAAAAGATTTGCCTCAAAATGCCCTCTCCAAATAGATGAAATTCCTCACTAAACTTTAATATCAAAAATTCACCATTATTAACTTTCTTGTGTATAATGGTTCTAATTCCAGGATGCTGGGTAAGCCACAATACGAATTAATTTTTTTAAAACCTTCCTCCTGATGTTAATCTTTATTCAACAACAAAAACAGGTGTCAAAACAAGTGTTTTCATAGCTCTACTTTGTGCTAGGTACTAAGCTACACAAAGGATGAGGAGAAGAAAAATGCAGTCCCTTCCTTAAAAGAATTCACAGTCTAATTAGGAAGATGTCAGCACAATACATACATTGTCAAACTCTGACAAATGCTAACAAAGATCTTACAGCCTGGGGCATCTAAGAAGTCTTCATAGAAAGTAATATCTTAGATGATAGTCCTAAAAGGAAATAGTCATTAAACAGACAAAAATAAAACACAGAGGATAGAGGGGGGGGATGAAGTTTTTAAAAGGAAAAGAGGTGCCAAATAAAATTTTGGCTTTTGTAACAAAACTATCTTCTTTGAGAAACGACTTAGTACATTTCTGACATAATGGTGATGCCATTCCCTGAGGTGAAGAATAAAGAAGCAGAAATAGGAAGAAAGAAGTTCAATTTCAGACATATTTGACGTAGGTGTCTATGAAGTAACTGCTTGGAGATGTCTAGTAGGGTAGATAGGCTTAGAGTTCACAACAGAGAATTGAACAACATATATTAACTTAGGAATCATTAGCAGATAAATGGTAGTCAGTCAGAACAGGCTTCTCAGCATTTATAAGGACATAAGAAAGAGACTAACAATGGATTGATGGGGAACCCTAACACTGAAGAACCAGCCAGAAGAAATAAGACACCAGGTGCAAAGTGTTAAAGAAGTCTGTATATGCTGTTGGACAGGCCACTAGGATGGAAGAAGGATTTTTATTTTTAAATGGAAATGAACAAGATAAATGCAGATAGCAAACATCAATACAACCAATCATTCTAGTACAAACTAAAGAGAGAAAAATTAACTGATGGAGCCAAAGCAACAATTAAAAAGTAAAGCTCTCAGGAAAGTGAAATAACAGGTCATTTCACATTTTCATATTTCTTACTTATCTGTAGTTTCTAATTTTGATACATGAACATATTTGTTATAAGAAAAATAATGTTACTTTTATATTTTAAATATATATCCAATTATGGCAGAATTACAGTGCCAAGGGATTAAGGGAGAAGAGGTTGTCAGGCTTTTGAAAGAAGTATCTTCTATAAGGTAAATACTTGATGCCATTATGAACTAGACATTAGAGCTATTCAAAAAATTGTGGCTCATGAAAATAAATCTGCAAATACAACCTATGTTCTAGTTAGGGTTGTATTCTAATAAAGGAAGACTAACTTTAGGGTCAAAAGTTAACAATTTAAACATAATAATGATTAAAACATCATGGTATATAAACCATCAAAAATTAGGGCCACCAATGTGAGAATCTGTGTTTTTTTTACTCTAATTTTATTCACTTATTGGTTATTCTCAATACCAAGGCCACAGAATCTGAATACCTTTGAGCAAACATAAACCCTCAAGACATGCACAAACCACCACCTCCTTTTCTCCTTACTCAATTTAAAAAACTTTAAAGTTTGCAAAATTTTCCAAATGGAAAATTTTGACAAAAGCATATTTCCACTATAAGTGCTAATGTTTGTCTATATTCAAACTACACATGCATAAGACTAAAAATCTAGTAAAAGTTTAATCAAAATACTCATGAAAACATTCTAAAGTTCATTAACAATCACTTGCATTCTAAAAAATCAAAACAATTAATTTTGTCCTTTTTATTCTCATATAAGAGTCCTAGTGTGGTGCTGTGGGTTAATGCGCTGGACTACAAAGTCAGTTTGGACTACAAGGTCGGTGGTTCAAACTCACCAACCACTTCTCAGAAACCCTATACACGGTTGCTATGGGTCTGAACTGACTTGACAGCAAATAACAACAGCTACTCTCATATAGTATTTAATACTTTCTACATTATCTTTTCTTGCCATCAACACTGTTGTTGTTATTAAGCGCCATGGTGTCAGTTCCAACTCATAGCAATGCTGTATATGGTTTCTGAGGAGCAGCTGGTGAGTTTGACCCGTCAACCTTGTGGTTCAAACTGACCTTGCTATCCAGTGCTTATCCTACCACACCAGGACTCCACAATCAACACTGTTGTTGTTAAGTGCTACAAGTTGGTTTGCAATCAACATTACTACCATGCTATTTGCTTATAGATTTTTTTGCCCCTGTTTTTCAAGAGCCTTTTTTCCAAAAATCCTAATAAATTACTATTTCCTAAAACTATCTTCTTTGAGAAACAACTTAGTACATTTCTGACATAATATATAGAAGAAAGCTTTGTTTCACTTCTTTTTCTTTCCCAAATAATGCCAGTAAAATCTGGAACCTATACAGAAACTAAGCTGCAGTTTATTTTTATTTATTGTTAGTTTGTTTTTAACAAGAAGGCAATACTTCCCACCTCTTTCTTCAGGCTTCTACAGACTGTCAACATTGTAAAGAATCTACTGAATGAGGGGCCTCGATCACCTGCTACTGCCCCTTTTTGATTAGCATTTCTTCAATAAAGGAAAATTTAGAAAGAAACATTTCAAAGTAGCTTTTGTTGTTGTTTCTTCTCTAAGAAAGCTATCCTACATCAATTAAAATTATTTACTCCATATAAGAATTCTAGTATTATTAGGAAGAAAATAAAACAGTGATTTCTGTTAGCCAAGAAATATAAAACAGAAAAACAACAAAACTTCTCCAATTTTGTAAGAATAGCATATTACTGGAGTCTTAGTGTTGAAACTAAAGCAGCAACTATATACATTGTACAGAAAAGAAAACAAAATGAATTGGAAACAAATTCCAGGTAACTAATTCCTTTCCTCAATGAGAATCCAATGTTTCAACAAAATTAATGGGAAAAACTACGTGTTGCTCTAGCTGTGAGGTTATTTTATAAGTTAAGAAGCACGGTAGGATCAGCACTAGACTGCAAACCACAAGGTCAGCAATTCAAACCTACCAGCTGCTCCTTGGAAACCCTATATAGGGTCTCTATAAGGCAGAACCAACTTGATGGCACTTAATAACAACATAGAAAATTTTCTAAAAAATGTATACCACTTCTAACAAAGGACCATGCAATCATCTAACTAAAGGACACTTACAAGAGTTTTCTGATGAATGGTTCACCAACAGTTGTTAATATAAAAGACTTTTCCCCAAAAAAGGATTAAGGAAATGGTACAGAGTATGTTCGTGAATAAGTTGGTTCAGGATTCTCCCTGGAAAAGGGGAACATCAAGCTACAAACTACAGCACAGCAAAGCAAACAATGTATTCAACGGAAAATGCGGCCCATTTTCAATTTTAACAGAGTTGTAAAAACAGAATAGCCTGGTATTGATTATAATTCAATACAACTTATAGAATTCTAGTACAAAGTACAGTTCACACTAATCAACTGACACTTAGTAGAGAGTAACAAATTAATCAGTGGTACAAATTATTTTCACTTGAAATAAAAAAAAATATGTACATATAAAAATTATTTTCTAAAGTAACAGTATTACAATTATAATATTCTCTTCCTGTCTGTTGAAGGTGCTCTGGGAGCGTAATAGTTACAAGTTAGGCTGCTAATCTCAAAGTAAGCAGTTCAAAACTACCAGTGGCTCCATGGAAGAAATATGAAGCTTTCTGCTCCTGTACAGATTTACCACCTCAGAAACCTATAACAGGATTGCTATGAGTCGGAACTGACTCCACAGCACATAACCACCACCACCACCACTT